CCCCCCCCCCCCCCCCACCCACTCTAAACTTTGATTATATTTGAGATAAAAAAAATATTTTATGTTATTTTCGTTTCCCCCTTTTTCATGGTATATATGCAAATGATTTTTCAGTTTCTATATAACTAACTTTTGGATATCTACTTTAATGTTATCAGCAACAAAAGTTGAACTAACAATGTAGCTGATGCCAATAATTTATGCTGCCAACTCCAACTTTATTAAGAGTAAAACTTTTCTCAGTACTAGCAACAACGAAAGAAGAAAAGATTCCAGTTTTCTCAAAATGTTTTATATCTGTTATCCAGTTTTCTCAAAATGTTTTATAGCCACAACGCGTGATATTGTCGCTGCAATCTCGTCCCAGCCTAGATATTTCCAATATCCTGCATTCTCATGGTGGTCTTAAACCAGATTTTCTTTAGCAAACGAGACCAACATCATTCACTGCTGGTGGAGAAGTAGAAGACCAGTTAATAGTCTTTGGAAGTGGAGACGATGATATAGATTAGCTAAAAATTGCAACTGGAAGCCATAACGTACCATCACTTCCATCCTGAATAAGACTGATTACCAATCCAGGGGAGCAACCCACAGTTTATATCTGAATTGGTAGCAAATCGATAGAACGAAGTCTCAGATTGAAAAGGATAGTGCTAATCCCGACAGATTCAGACAAGAATAGACCCACACAACTCGTCAATCAGCATGCAAAATTTTAGCAAAAAAGTTACATCACATCCTCTCACAAATTGATCGGATATTCTTCACCTAGATGGGGTTTAGGAGTCCTGAACTCGAGTACAGAATAATGTACAACAAAGAGAATTTATGCAAAGTCACAGCTCTTTGATGAAATTTTGATCCACACAAGAAAGCTTGAGAGTGGAGGACGTACCTGTTAAAACATAATTTTTTATAAAGGTAATGAGACAAATGAGAATATTACACTCAGCGCCTTGAGACAGAGGGTTCTCCAAATGAATAGCGGTCGGAGACTGTTTTGGGTGTGGATTGGGTCTTGCCACCAAGGAGGTGGTATCTCTGATTGTATTCAGATAGTTCCTGGGAAGCATGCGATGGATGTGGTCTTTGATTGTTTTCCAATAGTTCATGAGGAGCATAAGATGAACACGACCTTTCTCCATCAGGAATTATTCTTCCTAGATGAACTGCAGCACCACTAGTGGAGTTCGGATAATTTATGGGAGAATGTAATCTGGCACTTGCTGTTGCTGTCATTGGTGGGAGTGACAGATATCGATTTACCAATGATGTGGTGCTTTCATCATAAGGATTATATGCCGCGTCAACAGCTTGATTAGTTCTTATGATAGGAGACACCTCAGTCGGCATTTCATGGGGACCTCTGAGTCCATAAGTGCGATACTCTTTTTCACTGAGAAAAAAGGTATCAGGTCGACTGACTTCTCTCTGTCGTAAAGTTACATTGTTGTTCATAGGAGCATGGTTCCTTTGAAACTGATCCTTCTCTTGTTCAAGATTTCTAGGCTCCCGTGCATGGCCAATGATACCACCTACAGCAGTTGGCAAGAGATCACTTCCCTGTCGAAGACCATAATTTCTGTATTCTTGCTCTGTGCGAAAAAGTGGACCCTGTGAAGGAACATCAGAAGAAATTACATGGTGCTCAGATATTTTCTTCTCTTTATCAAACCGGATAATATCTTCTCCTGGTTTGCTACTGCCATGATGTTTGAATTTCTCCCCAGTGTGCAATATTGCTGTTGGCAAAACGTTTGGTGCAAGAACAGACACAGGTGCGGGCATGGGCTCCGAACCCCGGACCAACGATTTACCACTTGAATGCAACTTTGGGGTTGGCTGGAATAAGCTTGACAGGTGCTTTACCTGCAAGGAAGAGACAGGGGTTGGGTATATTTGCAGTTTGACTTCTACAAATACACGTTTTGAAAACATAAAAATACTGATAAATGAAAAGAAAAGGTTATCTTCTTACTTGGGATGTGGTCAACTCTGTCTTGAACTTGCGTGTCCTTTCATCATAATTGTCTTTGATTGCTTTCTTAAATATATTCTCAGGTAGCGGTAGGCAGTCCCTGTGAACAGTGAAGCGGACCTGTAGAATGACAAGTCATCTTTATAAAAGTATCCCCGCGTTAAGAATGAACACAAAAAAGAAGGGGTATAGAGCAACCTGAGCAGGGAAGGCCCCTCCATATGCAGCCGGTTCAAGTTTCATGCCACCAGCAGAAGATGCTTCGTAGATTCCATACATGAGCTTGAGATCAAAATCATAGAGGAAAAGCTTAAGACCAGGCTTGATGCCCATAACAAACTCTTTCCGGCTTGCTGAGATTCCCATCACATGGTAACGGAAACAATCTGGTTTGGTTTTGGTATTGCACATAAAAATCAGTCCACCCAGATTTTTCCCGGACTTCTCATCTTCCCTTTTTCTGTCTTCATTCTTCTCATTTATAATTCCCCTTTCCTTTTTCCCGTGATGTGAACTTGCATCGTTAGTATCTTCTTTTTTATTAGTATTACTTTCTTCCACTCCTTCCTTTGTTCTCTTCCTTTTATTGCCTTTTATGGCCTGAACTTCTGAAATGGTTTCTGCTTTGTTGCGTGGTGCATAATTCTGCATCGGACATTTGCCTGCAATCTGAGATTCAGGCTCAAGAGCCCGGGGAGGCTTCTCATGAGAAACTCCTGCTATTGAAGCAGAATCCACAGAAATTTCACCTTTTCTCTCATTTTCCACTGGTTTTTTGTAAGAAACTACTTGTTTAAATTCAGTGGCGTCTCCACCTTTTTTCTTGTTATTTGGCATTTTCTTGTTAGAAACCACCTCTTCAGAAGTAGATTCAGCGGCGACACAACCCTTTTTCTTCTGCTAACAAAACCTCTTCTCAAAGTCAGATGAAATGTTACAAATACCAGACAAGTGACAATTGTATGCGTTAGGAAAATGAATTCAATTCTAAATCACAAAGAGCATTCTTACATTAAGAAACAGCAATATAGAAGCCATAAAGCTAAGAATTCCAAAAATCCCAGGCATAAGACATAGAGGGTAAATGAAAGTCTTGTTCAGCTAAACAAAATATATCCTTTTGGATCAAACAGAAAAATTGCCACGTTTCTTTTCTAGTTCAGCCATTTGGAAATGAGAAGAACATTTACTGTGTGATAAATTCGCGTTTGAAACACCAGCAAGACAATAATTTTACACTTATGAAAATTGTCTCAAGTACGAGAAAGAACAAGAGTAGTTCATAACAAGTGATATCCTTACAGTCAAATGTACTATAATTTTCTAGTACTTTGTGACAGCCAGATACTTCTACCTTTTCATTCAGAAAATTTCTTTTCATTTTTCCCCTTATTGTCCAAATTGGTTTAACTCAATGCCTCTCCATAACTTGTGCATTCACATATGGTAGCTGGGTTTTACACCTGATTTTTATTGTCTTCAGTTCATATTCAATTGACAGGGAGCAGAAACCGAATTCACCTAAAATTTACTAACTTTTCTACTCCCATTTTTTGCAGCAAGAAATCAAAAACAAATAAAAACATGATTTAAAATCCTACTTGGCAAAAAAAAATCCTACTTGGAAATACCTTTATTAATTTTCCATATATTCGGTAATAACGTATTCAAAAACCTTATTTCTACTCCACCAAAATTAAGTAATGCCAAAAGTTAGACAAGAAAACCTCAAGCGAAATTGAAACAATCGGAGAAAACTTACAACGAAAACATAAAAATCACAGAAAATATTTATTCAGCTCTATATAACCATTAATTGCAAAAAAAAAATAAAAAAATATCATAATTAAGTAAAGTTTCTACAAATGACCTCGAATTGATGCTTGATCGATCTGAAGAAAAGAGTCGATCGAAAGAGAGCTGAACAAAGAGATTAGATGCAGATTTCAGCAAATTTTATTCCGGTAAATTGACCATTGTTACATTGGGCTGGGCTATGAGACTATGAAGTAATATTGGGCCCAAATTCAGTGTATATAGGACTGCAAATTAGGGAAAAATTTACAGCTCATGTATTATCTATTCCAAATTTAAAAATTAGGTCCCAAAATTTAAAATTG